TTATGAAGGTGACAGTTTGGCCCTGCTATTTTTAAAAAATATTTTTTACTGTTTTGTGTTGCCTCATTTAATCTGTAAAAAGTTTAAGGCTATCTGTCACTTGAGAGTTAGTATGTGTTTTCGTACTCATGTAAGATGTGTTTAACAGGTAAGCAGGACTAATTGAGTTTCATTAAGCCCGGTTATTATTGTGGAATACAGGGTTGAGCAGTGGAACTTGGTAATGGGTTGAAAATGTTGAGTCTACATGAAGAATATGACCCAATTCTCTTCGGTCACATCTTGCCACTTCACCGCTCACTACACATCAGCCATACTGGCCTTCCTTCTGCTCCTCGAATGACCAAACTCCCTTCTATCTTGAGGCCTCTGCTCGTGTTGCTTCTCTGGGGACATGCTGCCCTACCAGACTCATTCTAGCTGTTCCCCAAAACCAGAATTAAGAAAGTTTAAAAAAGAAAACCAAGAGGAAGGAGAAGTTAAAACTAAAGTTCATAAGTTCTGTGTTGCTTGCATGAGTTGGCCTCAATAAAAGTACTTGGCTCAAGATTCCTTCTCTTCAGCTTGGGTGTTACTAGCGCTTGCGAGAGCCGCTAGTTGGAGATTTTTATGGAGAATGATGTGTTTATGAGAAATGGATTCATTAGGAAAATCCTTCTGTGATTTTAGAAAAAGAGTCTTTGTAGAATCTTACGAATGAGAGTAGAGGCTGGAAGAAGAGCTGTCAGCGGTTAAAGGTGTGAATTTAGATTTTATACAAATATATGAATTAGTACCAGAGAGATGGTTTAAGAAAGCCAAGTACACTGTAAGACAGCTGTAAAAAATGAGAACATCCTCACTACTGACAGACTCACTGAACTGAGGTGCAGTGAGAAAATAATCAGACAAATCAAAAGGAAGACAATAGGTCAGACTTCTTAATTCTTAATTTATGAGACTCTGGAGTACATGTAGCAGGCAATCAACAAATTGAAAGGCAGCCTCGTATTGTTGATAGACAGGGGTTCAGACATTTTCTCCAGCAAACCCCACAGTATCCTCTGAGGGTATGCTTTGAGCCATCTGTTTCATCGGGGGATTGCAGTGTTTGGGGATTTTAATTATTTAACATTAACCTTGATGGAGAACTTTTAATTGCAAGAAGAAAACTTGGGCACATTAAGGTAGAAAATACCATATTTGAGAGACATATGTAATAATTAGGGTAGATTGACTTTCAAAAAAAAATTACTCAGTGTAGACAAGAAAATGAAGTAATAAGGAGCAATGGATGAAAGGCCATGAAATTCAGGCAAAGTTTGGCTCTGCCATGAGACCACATTACTGAGTTTCAAAGTGATCTTTAAAAGGAGAGTATCCCGTACTAGTGGGATTGTGCATTTTTCTGTATCACTGTACTGGGGTGTGGGTGCGTGCACGTGTGTGTGTGTGTGAATCTGAGCATCATTCTACAGATGTCAGGCTATTTTCTAGATCATGACAGTTTGGCTTTGGTTTAGCTCATCTCCCTCTGGAAGTGAATTGCGTGTCACTGTAAGATTGCTGATGGCGTTAGAGGACAGTCTCCATCAGGTATTAGACCTGGAAACTTTGGTGGTTTGTGTGACGGTTTTCACCAACGTTGGGGTGTCAGGGTATAAATACAGTACAAATAAGCTATCAGGTGGACTGAATCTTTTTTAAGTAAATCAACATCATGACCATACCATAATCCCTAAAGGTTTGGGGAAGGAATTTAAATTTCCTTTAAATTTTATGTTTTTCTGTTTCTTGTAGTCCTCTCTTGATTTGTTCAACTCAGAATCCAAGAGCAAAGACAACAGGGAGTGTGTCTTATCTATTTATAGTATTAGCACCCGATAGTGTTTGGCACACAGTTGTGCTGAAAAATGTATGAAAGAATGAAAAAATTACTAAATAAATGGAATTGTTACTCCTGAAGTTATTGTTGTTGAACATCACGTATGCCCATTTTCCCTGAGGAAGGTAGTAGACTGTATGTATGTATGTATGTGTTAACAGTATTTATTTTAAAAAGTTCTTGCATTATGCTGGAAACTAGGAATTTATCCCACACTTGCCTCCTCTCAGAATTGGAGAAAAAAGTTGGAAGGCATGTATTTTCTAAAGTTAATTTTAACTACAATTTGAGAAGTTTGGATGTTACACGTTTTGCACTGAAATGATTGGCGACAACTCACACTTCAGTGAGCACAATCGCTACACTAGAAACTGACCCTTATTAACTAACTACCCCTTGAGTAGGACCTTCTGGTAATCTGTCAGAGAGAGTACAGTTGACCTTTGGACAACACAGTGTTAGGAGCTCCAACCCCCACGCAGTTGAAGATCCCTGTATAACTTTCGACTTCCCCCCAGATTTAACTACTAAATAGGTTTACTGTTGACTGGAAACCTTACTGATTATATAAACTGTTGATTAATACATATTTTTGTATGTTATATATATTATATACTGTATACTTACAATACAGTAAGCTAGAGAAAAGAAAATGTTAAGAAAAGCCTGAGAAAATACATTTATGGTATTTATTGAAAAAATCTGCATGTAAGTGAACCCGCACAGTTCAAAACCCTGTTATTCAGGGGTCAGTGGTACTTGCTTCCCCACCCCGTATTCATTCTCTTTCCTTTCAAACCCCTGATTCTTATCTGGGCACATGGCCACCTGGGAAGAAATTAATTATCCCACATTCCTTGTAGCTTGATAAAGCAATATGATATTGTTATGGCCCCAAGAGAAACAAGTGGAAAAGTCCTATGGTGGTTTCTGGGAAAATGTAACGAACAGAGGATGCATGCTTTTTGCCCCTTCAAGTCTTCTTCCATCTTGCTGTCTGGGATTTTGATGGGATAGCAGGAGCTCTGGTCATCAGCTTGAAGCATGACAAGAAGGGACTTCATAGGAATGGCAGAACAATAAACTCACAGGAGCCCCCAGACTAGCCTTTGATCGCCCAAGTCTCGACTTCATTTGGTTGATGGAGATATAACTTCTTATCTTGTTTAATCCATAAATTCTCAGGTCTTCGTTACACGCACCCAGATCTAATCATAATGGACACACTATTTTACTAAGGTCAGTTCTAACATCTCATGATTCCATTGCCCATCTGAGGATTGGTCCTTCTATTCTCTTTTTTATTTTGCCATGTCTCGTTATTTACTCTCATCTTGGAATTCTGTGCCAGGGTTTGATGTTGGCCTTGTTTCAGAAAATAATTGATCTGAGAGGTTACTAGATTGTCTATGGTGGTACAGGGTTAACACAGAATATTCACCAACTATTTGGGGGGAAAGCCTCTAGATTCTAAATTCTAGAATGTCAGCGTCATCCTTCTCTCATAAAGTATAGAACCCTCTTATGGTACTTGAGTGTATTTGGCTTTTCCTTCAACACAATCCATACAGATGGGGAAGCCACTTTTTAGGGGCGTTGGAAAGATAGGCACATCTTATTATGTAGTGCTCAATGTGGATACTTGATGCTCAGGGGCTTTTGGGGCCCCACATCTGGTGAGAAAGCTAATTATAGGTCACTGTTGAGCAGGAGGAGAGATCTTTCTTATCTCTCATTCTTTTGGCTCAAACTCACTTTTTTATTAATCATTGTAGTGGCTTGTATAATCTTCCTCACAAAGACAAAGTGTTAGCTGTTGCTTTGTTTTAGGGTAAATATCGAAGTGCTTGATATCTACATCTAGAAATGTTCATCCATGGAAGCTAGAAATGGAGTAGCAAGATTTTTTTATGTCCTATAAGCTGAACTATGGGTCATCTTTGGTTTGATCTGTGTCAGCCTGTGGACCTAGGACCCACCTTGACCTTCCAAATATGTCATCTCTCATAGATGAGAATAGAGAAATTCAGAGAGAAAAAAAGGTACATTTAGTTTTCTGTAGCAGCCATCATAGTGACTGTTAGGACATACTCTCTTTCTATGAAGACTGTGAACTTGTCAGCCTATGAAGTTCATTTGTGATTTCCCAGAGACATTGTGTTGTGGTTGAGGACATATTCTAAGGGCTGTGGGGCAAATAAAGAAGAGCCAGGAAAATGGAACTTAAAATGAAGTATTCATTCGGAACCTAGTGATCCATTCTTCTTGCTTTCTAGAGTTGGTTTCTGAAAGGATTCACCACAGGGGTCTGGGCCAATTTTATGAGAAAAAGCTCCAGATACCTAGGACAGATGTCAGTTATGGGAATTGCCACTACTGAATTATCAGAAGGGGTGTTCCTAAGCTTGGGTACATTTTCTATCTTTCACACTCACTCTTCATGTACACCTGATGTGTATTGTCGAAGCTGGAAGTCTTTGTAAAGGTTCTCTTTGCCCACATAAAGGCTATTCCTTGTAATTCCACCTGACCTTCCTTAGAGAGCTTTATGTTTATATCAAGTACTTTCACTCTTGCTGGTGGGCTGAGAGGGTAAGCTTCTATTCAAAGCTGTGTTACCTAGGACTAGATGGTAAGCTTTTTGAAAGCATATTGGTACTGTAGAATCCTAACAAGTGTAATGTCCACTTTGTCACTGATTCTAAGACCTGCGTTAGACCAGTTTGAGAAGTCAGGCAGAGTGAGAATCCTGAGTATTATAAATACAGTGACAGAGTTGGTATATCACCTTTATTTCTCCAATGCCATCATTATCAGAGGACTTAGAGTTCTTTAAAACTTAGTTTTATTTTTAGAAGCCATATAGTAGTTATTTAAAGGAACCCTTGAAGTAATTCCTTCCCTAAAATGAAGAATTCTTTATTTTTGAGTTTGGACTTTCATATCTTCAAACATTAGTATATCAGATGTCATTGATATTTGTTATTTATTTTTGTCCTAGGGAAATCAGATAGCCAAGAAGCCTAGTGGAAATAACTTCATTAGTTATAGGTATAATAATAAATGGTAGGAGCCAAGAGGTCTTGTGTCCAGCCATTAACTGGCCAGGTGGCCTTAGGCCACTGAGCCTCTCTAGACCTAAGGTTCTCTATTGTTCTATCAAGTGAGGGTTAGAATGAATGATATCTGTGGTTCCAGCCTATGAGATCTATGCATGTTTGTCTTAAATGCATTCTGAGAAGGTCCTTGCCCTCAAGAAATTTCAGCTTTTTTTCTAGATTTCCTTACTTCTTTCTGGCTGGGCTCCAAAAGTAACATGCACTTGTTGTTTACAAAGGAAAATTAAACTAGAAAATGTATTATACAGAAAGGAAAAGTCTCCTTCAATCCCACCCTCTGAGAGAATCATTCTTAAAATAGGTGTATAAGGGTCTCGGTTTATTTCTATACATATATTAGTATTCTTGTGGTAGATACACACATATGTATGTGTATATATGTGTATGCATATATCTATATATCTTATTTATATTGCACTAAAACTTGATTTTTCCAACATGTAACACTTGATACAATCTTGCCATGTCAGTACATCTAAAGCTACTTTATTTTTTTTAATTGACGTATAATTGGCATATAACACTGTATTAGTTTCGGGTGTACAACATAATGATTCAATATTTGTAAATATTGTAAAATGATCCCCACAAGTCTACTTAATATCTGATATCATACATAGTTACAGATTTTTTTCTTAGGATGAAAACTTTTAAGATCTCTCTTAGCAACTTTGAATTTGAATTATACAATACAGTAGTATTAACTATAGTCACCATGTTGTACATTATATAAGCTACATTATTTCTAAAATGCCTCATAGAATGTCACTGATTGAATATTGGAGGCATACCAAATACACATTTTGGCCAAATGGTCAAATGTTAAGTCATATTTAGCTGAAACTAAAGCTAAATATCAGTGTCATAGAATGGATGTCTGGAATACAAAAAAAAAAAAAATCTGAAATTTTCAACAAAGCTTGAAATTTTTTAATAAAAGTTTTTAGTAGTCAGCTTTAATTTTGACAATATACAGGCATTTTCCTTTCACCCTACTGCCTGCTGTTAGATTGATCCTGCGGTCATTGTGCTATACTACAGAGTTTGGTACTGTTCCTTGGCAATTAACCTTGCCATCTCCAATAATAACTAGGTAAAGACTAGGTTGTAGACTAGGTAAAGACTTCTCTCCTCATTAACGACTGGCCTTGGAGATTTGCATGATGATCGTGAGTTTGATTGAAGGAATCCCAGAAATGGAAGCATTGTTGCACTGCTTGAAACATCCTTTCTAAATATTTTCAGAAGCATACTAAAGATTGCTGCCAACGCATATATCTAACTTTCTAACATTTTTGCTGCCTCACACAATTAGTTGATTGAAAAAAAAATTCTGTCACTAATTTTGGGTCTAAAATTATGGCAGTCATGTCGTTGACTTTCAAGATGTAACAGAATCGTTTCAGTATCACTTGTATCTTGGCTTTCATTCATGTACACCAACTTCAGCACTGGTTCTGGAATAGAAGGATAGGAGACTTTTTATATGTAAGAAAAATGTGAACTCTCAAAGTCTTAACCAGTTTTGTTTAAATCCCCCCCCCTTATTTAGCAAATTTTAGTGAATAAATTACCTTAATAAGCAATCATTGGATTTAGCAGGGTTGCTATTTTGGTATTCTTATCTGCAAAGTAGAATATCATGGGATTTTTGTTGCTGTTGCTGTTCAAGCAGCCTATATAACAAGGAACTAGCTCTTCCTCCATCTTGTTTGAGGATATTGTGTGAATATACAAGGCAGTTCCACAACCTCTTGTAACTCATGCAATTAGTCTTTGGCTGAAGAAGAAGGAAGAAAGCACAGTACTCCTTATATGCTTTCTCGTTCTGTTCATTACACTGTGCCATAATTGCCTTATGAACACAGAGCTGGTCAGTGTGATTCCTAACACACCCTTCCCCATGTTTGTTCCATTGTCAACCACAGTCAGCTGTCACTGCTCCCTGGTTTCTGTACATCTTCATGTGGACTCACCATGTTCGGGTGAGAGATTGGGAACTCTTTGAGCAGGAGAGTAAAGCAGGAGCAAAATTGCATGCATTGTTAATGTACTGTGCTGTTGTATTTAGAGGAGGTCTGCGTGTTCAGACGTCTGACGCCCAGGATAGAGGAGGGGCACCATTCATTGTTTTTGTTCATGTTGCAGTATAATTCAGGAAGGAGAATTTTGCTAACATGTTTCCCAGAAGCACTTTTAATGCTGGAATTCATCATCTGGAGAAGTCTGAGTACTCTTTCATCTTCAGTGACAGGATTAGACAGGTTGGCGTTCTGTAGCCGTCTAAAATTTTAACAAGCTTATTTTTCCAAGTTGGCCTCTATACGATTTATTTATTAGAATTTTAAAAATGTGTTTTGAAGTTTGATTACTATAAACAAAACATGTTTTTGGTATCTCATTTTCCTCAGTCATTTTCTTCTTTGTATTGTTTATGTGTATGTTTTGTATGAATCAGAGAGGACTCTTCATGGGTGTCATTGTGATTTTACAGACTTTCCTATTCTTGAGATTTTTACATTGCTCAATTAACAAAAGCCATGTCTGTTAACTCTACTATCTTAATCTCTGTGGATCTTTTTCTAGATTGTTTTCCCCCCTTCCCTTAGTTTTCTATTACCTTGGTCTCATCTCCTGATGATTTTTAATGAATTTTGGACACTGGTTATAAAAAATAGTAGAGATAATTTTAGGCTATTGATAATGTCCTTTTCCTCCAAAAAGGATATACTTCTGCTTCTTGTGGGCAGAATCAGAGGTTAAGATGATTTACAGCTTTGCCTCAGGCTGTGTGAGGGCTGGCTTATTCCTACTTGGTCTCCACTTCTTTTTTTAAAATTTTTATTGATATGTTAATCACCATACATTACATCATTAGTTTTTGATGTAGTGTTCCATGATTCATTGTTTGTATATAACACCCGGTGCTCGATGCAGAACGTGCCCTCTTTAATACCCATCACTGGGCTAACCCATCCTCCCACCCCCTCCCTCTAGAACCTTCAGTTTGTTTCTCAGAGTGCATCGTCTCTCATGGTTCATCTCCCCCTCCGATTTCCCCCCCCTCATTTTTCCCTTCCTGCTATCTTCTTTTTTTTTTTTAACATATATTGTATTATTTGTTTCAGAGGTACAGATCTGTGATTCAAGTCTTGCACAATTCACAGCGCTCACCATAGCACATACCCTCCCCAATGTCTATCACCCAGCCACCCCATCCCTCCCACCCCCACCACTCCAGCAACCCTCAGTTTGTTTCCTGAGATTAAGAATTCCTCATATCAGTGAGGTCATATGATACATGTCTTTCTCTGATTGACTTATTTCACTCAGCATAACACCCTCCAGTTCCATCCATGTCGTTGCAAATGGCAAGATCTCATTCCTTTTGATGGCTGCATAATATTCCATTGTGTATATATACCACATCTTCTTTATCCATTCATCTGTCAATGGTTGGTCCCCACTTCTAAGATGGAATCATCAGGGGTCCCACCTGGAAGCCTCCATTTTCCTCATCCTTGGGCCCCAAACGGCAATTTTTGACTGCCCCATGCCATAGAACTGCAGAAGCTTCTGCATCTTCACAGCCTCCTTAGTTGTTACTTTATGCCCAGATCTTCAGTTTCTCAATACCGCCTTTGGGAATGAACAAATGCCTCAAAGGGAAAAAGCAGTTCTAAATGTTATTAGCTTCTCTTGTTTCTGGGACTTTTCTCACTCGTGTTTGCACCTGGTAGCTCTGTTTGGCCTAGTGTTCCTAAGTTGTTCTCAGCAACAAGCTGTTTAGCCATTGTTGGAATCTTACCTGTATTTGAAAGTGAATATTCAAATATTAAAAATAAATACATGTAGCATCCCTTGTTTGCATCACTGTTACGCTGATTATATATTATCGTCGCCTATGCAGTCATAGCATCATTTATAATATAGAAGTTCAGGAATACCATAGGGGTACCCGCATGGCTCAGTAGGGTAAGTGTCCAACTCTTGATCTCAACTCAGGTCTTGTTCTCAGGGTCATGAGTTCAAGCATCATGTTGGGGAAAAAGTTCAGGAATGCTAAAGATAACACTGAATGAGATATTCAGGTATTTGGCCAAGTTTTAAAAATATACCAGATTGATTTTTAATTTATTCATTTATCATTTATTTCATACATAGCAAATGGTATTTCTTATTTTCACTCCTTTTCCTCTTTCTCTATTGGGTGGTTTAATTCTGGTTGATTTGCAGAAGCTCTTTGTATGTAGGAGATATTAATCCTTTGCTTATATATGGTATAAATGTTTATCACCAGCAAATATGGTTTGTATGACTGCTACATTTTAGGATTTATTGAGTTTTTTTGTGGCTTTTTTATAGCTCTTTTTAAAACTAATATTGCACAGATATTTATAAAGAAAATACACAGATATAGTCACATACATACCTGCACATATATACTTATATATTTGTTCTATATACATATACGGCCTTATTAATTATATTATTCAGATCCTTTATGTCATAATTTTTTGAAGGATCAAATTGATTCCCCAATAACTAAGAGTGTTAATTTTACCCCTTCTCCTGATAGTGTTGTTCTTGGTCCTTTTTGCCTTGAATTTGATCTTGCTAAATGCTCATATTTTGCTCCATTGGTTTTGGAAATGAGGGGGGTGGTATAGACTCTAATTTATCTTTGTCTCTTTAATTTTGAATTCTTCAATTCTTTTTCCCTCTTTTAATTTAGAAGAATGGATTTGATGGTTAAGTCACCTGAGAGGTATCACAAAAGAGGAAGTGGCCCTGAACCGAATCTTGGAGTATAAATACAATATGAATGCATAGATGTGTGTGGGTCTTCCAGACAAGGGGGAAGGATTGAAAAAGAAAGAGGCTGGGATGGAATAGGAAGTATGTTTGGAATGTGACAGGAGGCTGACTCAAGCAGAAAGTCTGAAAGTAAACAGGGGTTATTGAGGTGGGACCACATTTTGGGAATCCTGAAGTGAGGAGAGAAATAATTCTTTGTTTATAAATTAGGTGTTCTTAAGACAAATAACCAAATAAGTGTGCATTTACAAGATAAGCCTTGTGTCAAAGCTTGCTGTCCAGGATCATCTTTCTTGCTTGTTTATGCTGATGTTATAGGTTCATTTTCCTTTATTCCAAGAGCTCAGAGCAGTGCGCCATGATTCACATGAACTAATCTCATGCACATTCTTTGAGTTTTATTTTGCATTTGACATTCTAACCAGGTGATTTTTGGAGTGATGTTTGAGGCTGATAATCTCACCTCAAAGAGATAGTTTAAGCCTGTCATATTATGGGTCAGCTTAGAACTTTCCTTCAGTTCTGTTCTTCTGCCTTTTCAGCGGTGCCCACTCCCCACATCATAAATACTTGTTTCTTTGCATACATTAAGCAGATGAGATGAAAATGTGCTAAATATGAGATGGCCATGTCTGCTGGCCTGTTTTGTTATCTTTCCAGAAGCACGTAGATGGTGGCTTACTGAGAAGATTGCTGTGTAAAGAAGTGGAACCCAGGAACATCTATTGAATGCTACCACTGAATTCTGGACAGTTAGCTCTTCAGAAATGGCACTTTTATTCCCAAGGGGAAATTTAAAGAACTCAGTGTTTTCCTTTGGCTCTTGCATAAAATTATGTTTTCTCTGTCCTAGGGGACTCCTTCTCACAGTTCCGGTTTGTTGAGGAGAAAGAGTGGGATGGTGAAGCTTCATGTCCAAAACAGGTAAGATGGTTTGTCTTGACTGTGGATTGACACTTCTCAAGGCTGAAGACTAATGCCTTTACGTTATTGTTGAGATAAAGTATCGGGGTAGAGAAGACTAGTGATTCATGTATAGTTTAGTCTCAGTTACCTAAACTGTTCAGAAAATTTTCAGGGAGCTTAAATTATACAGGACCTTGGAGCTAGAATTCACTTGTATAACTGGCCATCTGTGTGAATTACTCATAGTGTATGGTCATGATTTTGAGTGGATTACTTTGCTATTTGGCCTTCCTTTTCCCTTTCTGTGAAAAATTTCCCTTAGAGTTGAAAATTAATTTTTTCCCCTCACACTGTTTTTGGTATTAGGTGAAAAAAGTCCTTAATTTTATAGCTTTACATAACTCTTCCTCTATAGTTAGGAGAATAAAGCTATAAAGTAAGAGCAGATATGGAAGTCATTCCATGAATCCGTAAAGCCCAGCCACCTCATTTGCTTTGTGTTCATGCCATATCTTCTTCCCAAGGAGTTTTGATTATTTTCCAAGTGCGATTTGACTGATTCTTTCCATAGGAGAGATGACAGGTATTCTAACCCTTTTAAAAAGCACAGAGAATCAGTGGTGGCTTGTCATCTGCTTCCCGACTTCATGGCTAGCGCTTGCTATCTGCTACAATGCTTTGGCAATCTGTCCACAGTTTCAGACACGTGGCTGAGAAGCAGACCCGAAGCCCAAAGGTAGGGCACCCTCCTCCCCATTCTGCTACCAGCTCAGTCTCTCTCTCTCTCTCTCTCACACACACACACGCACACACACACACGCACACACACACACACACCCGTAGGCGGGTCATTTTCTGTCTGGGCTGGTGTTCTATTTACTTGTTTGGGATGGACATTGGCTTACCATACAGACCAAGGGGGAGGGAAGTTACTTGTGGAATGACTGCCTGTCACTTTATGTAGAGGATGTATTACAACATGGGAAAAATAGGGCATCAAAAATATTCATCTTTGCTTGAGTCTGTGTGGGCATATGCCTGAGGTACAGTTTAGAATTCTAGGACAAATTGCAAACAGACCAATGGAAGTCATCAAGGAATACAGCAAAAGCCAGACAACTCACATTTCAACTCCTTTTGAACCATATCGACGATTAGAGAATATTTCAGTTATCCTGAGACTTTCAAATAATTCTAAAGTTCTTCATGCATCAGAACACTAAGAACTTGTTATTTACTCAATATTTTATTAGATGCAACTATTCAAAGATGAATAAGATAGAGACTATGCTTATTCATTGCCCTTAGCACAGTGGCTGATATATAGTAGATGATCAGTAAATATTTACATAATAAATGAAAAAGAGTGTGACATAAAATAAGTGGTGTCATCAACGGATCGAGATACTACTTTGGGCTGGAAGGGATTGAGAGCAGTACCATGGGAAAGAGAGTCTGAACGGGCCTTGGTGGGTCAGGGTGATGCTGGTTGGTCCTGTTAAGTGAGGAGAACTGAAAGACCAGCTGTGCTCAGAGTCAGGATGTAGTTGGAGTGCAGTGTTCCCAGAGGAGGCTTTAGGGGTAAGTCTGGGCCAGGTACTGCCAGCAGTTGGATCTTCATTTTCTTCTGGGGGGACGTTTAGCATGTGGGTAAGAGAGACAAGCCTGAGTGTGAATCTCAGTTCTACGACTTAGGCGAACTTCTTTCCTTCTCTTGTGTTCTCTTCTGTAAAATGGAACTAAGACTAGAATATAACTTGGCATTATAATGAAGATTACATTAGATAATAAATAAAAGCTCTTTAGTGCAGTTCCTGACATGTATGAAACACTCACAGTTAGCTCTTAATCCTATTCTTATTTGTTCACAAAAGTTTTGTTTGGCAAGAAAATGGAAATGGCTAGATTTGACCTGAGCAATATTGGGAAGGAGGGATTGAAGAGGGAAGAGGCGGGAGGCAGGGAAACCTGTTAGGAGCATATGTTTTGGGCGAACTCAAAGGGAGGAGGGCATGGGAATGTGGGGAAGTGGGAGTGGAAGATGGTTCATTGATAGACGGATTTCAGCACAGGACGAGCTAGACTGTGTCACGTGTGGGACACGCAGACAAGAAAGGTGTGCAGTGGCACAAAGCTTTCTAGCTGGATGGCTAGGTGAGTTGGTGAAGCCATTAATGGGGCACAGAGAGGGCAAGTTTACTTTGAATATTTTGAGCTGATGTATGGGTAGGACACATCCAAAACTAAATTCCTCACTTCCTCGTCAAAACCTGTCATGTCCCACTTAACTCCTCACTAGGTTCTGGTTTTGCTTGAGAAAGAAAAAGGTGACAAGAGTTTGGGAAGTATAATGGTCTGATCAAAGGCTATTTTTCCTTTAGTTGCAAAGTGGACTTTCTAGCAGGTTCTTTGTCTCACACAGACACTGAGACTGACAGTCTAATAAGTAATAAGGTTCCTGGACAGAGGGGACAGGTTTTCACTACCCAAAGTTCTGTGCACACTGACCTCAGAGAATTTGTTCTAACTAACAGTCAAGGCTGGCTTCTTGCTGCCAGGCTCAGAGTATGCAGGAGGGAAGGCATCAGGGTGTCCAGGCATTGCAGGTCAGGCTGCACGCTCCAACTGTGATTGACCATCAGAGTTGGCCAGATGGATATGGAGACTAGGTTCTCCAGGCAAAAACTAACCTCTCGATTATTTTAATATATAGCAAAAAGCTAATTTGTGGTTATTATTCCAATGAAGCCTATCTTTAAATTCACACTTTACTATTACAAGCATTTCACCTCAGCTCATTCTATGTGTTAGACCTTCAGCTTTAGCCCTTAAGGGGAAAGACTGGTGGTGAGAAAACGAGTCTTCTTCGAAAGTGGCATTTGATGGGAGGTTCTAGGCTCCAGGACTCCTGCAACTCCGCCTGCTGGTTTGAAGTGTCTCCACAGCCTCATGGAGGCTGTGCAGTGTCTATGGGGCCTTGGATGGTGGGTGGGAATTAGAAATGTGGGGGAAGGAGACATTCCAGGAACAGACACAGCTGGATGGCCATCATTCAGAATGTGGCTCAGAAGCACAGCCTGGCCAATCCCTTATCGTGGTGCAGCCACGCCTACTTTTCGTTGTTTTTTTTTTTCCCTAAGATTTTATTTATTTGTCAGAGAGAAAGTACAAGCAGGGGGAGAAGCAGGCTCCCTGCTGAGCAAGGAGCCCGATGTGGGACTTGATCCCAGGACCCTGAGATCATGACCTGAGCCAAAGGCAGATCCTTAACCTACTGAGCCACCCAGGCATCCCTCATTGTTTTCTATAGTTTTTTTTTTTTTTATTTGACAGAGAGAGAGAAAGCTCAAGTAGGCAGAGTGTCAGGCAGAGGGAGAAGGAGAAGCAGGCTTCCCGTGGAGCAGAAAGCCCGCCATGGGGCTCAATCCCAGGACCCTGGGATCATAACCTGAGCTGAAGGCAGACGCTTAATAACTGAGCCACCCAGGCACCCCTACTTTTCATTGTTGAGGATATACCTTACAGTCGTGTTGCACATAATGCTAAAGAGGACAGAGGAAGCATGGCCACTTTTAGCCAGACCCCTTCCGCACACCTCAATGGTCCTTCTGTCTGGGGAGCTAAGAGAGCAACAGGTGAATGGTGGGCAGGCATGGCAGAGGTGAAGTCCTTGCTCTTTTATTGGCTGAAAGAAAGGGGTCTGCTTGTGTGCAGATACCTGGGCGGTATGGAGGATGAGATTTCCAGTGTATAATGTGACAACTTACCCATGGATTAAGCATTCGGCATCACACCTTTCTACCGGGTTGAGAGAATTTCTCCAAATTTGAAAATGAAGACTTGGCCACCCTGGTCTGATCACAGCCTTAAGGTGCTGAGTGCAGGGCTGAGGAAAGGCCTGGAATGCATATTAAATTTCTCACTTTCTTGTCAGGGTTTTGCCAGCCTCCATCCTGTTCCCTAAATACACTGTATTTTTTAGAAGTGAGTTCCTTTTTTTCCAGGGCAGGGGCCACATCTGGCGCTGCTGACGTTGCTTACCTAAGAGCTAGCCATCTCGGGAATATTTCAGAAGGGCAGTTGAAAATATTTCAGAAGGGCAGTTCCACATCATCTCTCTCATTCCTCGTGTACTGCTGTTGTGGGGATTGGGGGTTACAGTGGGTCTGGATTGAGTGACAGGCTCTTCTTGAGTGCACCATCCCCACTCACTGTAAACCCATCTACCCAAGACATTCCAGACATTGCTGCAGTGGAATCCAGACTGGCTAGGTGACCCCTGGCTTTTCTTCTAACTTGAAGCCAGTGATTTTACAATAAGCTGTGTTTCCAGCTGGGCCTGGGAGATCTTTGGTAGACGAGGCGGTCAGCAGTATCTGCCTCTAATGTGAGGTCATTATAGCCAACTTTTGGTTTATTCTTTCTCTTGGGTGGCCAGGGCACTGGAAAGTAGCTGTTAGACTGTCATCAAGCCCTGAAATAATCTGGAATGTTTCCTCAACTACTGTCCATTTGGGAGGTCATTGCAGGGATAGGACTCAACTCCCATGAATGGGAGAGGAGTCAAGGGAAGCTTTCAGTGTTGGCCTCACGTGGAGTGCCGCTAGCTAGCTGGCAAGTCTGGCCCCTGCCTTCTGGCTGGAACAGGAGCATCTACCTCCCAGCCCCCTTCGGCTGTGCTGATCAGCCCCGGCTCGCTGCTTAGACAGCTCTTCCCTCCTCTCCCCAAGGCCAGCCGTCTGAATTGGAGGGGGAGGGGTCCACTTCAGTTCCATTAAATGCTTATTTTTCTTTCAATTTGCCAGTAATTCCTGAAGCATCTGTGGTTCCCAGGTTACTGTGCAGTCTTGATGTGGGGCTGGTCGCTGCCCTGTTCCTGCTCTCACAGTGTGAACTGTGGCTCCAGAACGTGGCTTGGGTTTTGCTCATCTTAACGCAGCGATGATAGAAAGAGCAACCATATCAAGTGTGATCTAGGGTAGGACTTACTCTCTGCTGAAGTAACGTCAGTGGATGGTTTATTGACTCTGTCATCTTCTGCTTTTTTTATCTCTAAAAGGTCATTTGTAATCATTGCCTGATATGTGTGTAATTTTTTGTTATTAGAATTCAGCATTTTATGTGGACTGTGAGTCACTGGCTCGAGCCCTTCAAGAACTGCCTCTCTCACTCCGACTCAATGTTGCTGCCGAACTGGTCCAGGTAAAAGCCCCGACAGGACCTGTCAGCTGGTGCGGGTTAGGGCAGATGAAGGAAAAGAGTGAAAAATGTCACTCTGCAGGATGTTTCACCATCAGCTTTTCCTTTGATAAAGCTGAGGCTCTTGTATCAAGGTACCATTTTGAAAGTTTTAAGGGAGAATCAAATAATTTTGAGTCTTTTTTTTTTTTTTTTACATTTTACACGTGAAACATTTTGAAGGATCAAATGTAATGGAATTGAATGAAATGTAAAGTATAAAATCTGGTATTTTACTCAAAAATTAATGTGCCAGGCTCCGTGTTTAGCACTAAGCAGACAGTGGTGATCAGGCAGACATGGTTCTTGATCTCATGGAGCTTAATCTATTGGGAAATGTGAGTATTGGTCAAGTTATCCAATTGTGGTAAGTCCCATAAAGGAGTGTAGTGTGCTATGAGAATATATAATAAATAATGAACCTGATCTACTCTGGTGTGATTAGGAACGGCTTTCCTGAAGGGGTGTCAGCTGAGCCGAGATCCAGAGTATAAAAACACGTGAGTTGGAATTTAGAGAGAGAGGAGTGACCCAGTCAGATCTGCCTTAACACTGCTGCTGAGACTGAGGATGCCCAGGACCATTCTGGCTGCAGAATGGAGGGGATTGTGGGAACGGGTGGGTGTGTGTGTTGGCAAATGTGCACGGGCATATACACGTCAGCGGAGACTGGGTCACACCAGGAGACTGCTGCAGCAGGCCAGGGGGACAGCGTGGGTGGGACTAGGGCCACCATGGTAGAGACGGCAGAGAATTGGACTTGACCAAGACGTACTTCAAAAGGAAAATTAGCAGGGCTTGGAAAATACTGGAAATGGAGAGTGAGCAAGCAAAGAATTATCCTTGGCCTTCCAGCCTGTGCAACTCAGCGCTGGGGTAGTTATCAGGAAGGGGGAGGTTTGGATGTTATGGGTCTGTGCCTCTGAGATTTCAAAGTGGAAATACGAGTTGGCTATGGAAATCTGTAGTTGAGAATGAAGGGCTAGAAACGTAAATGTAGGAGATAACCAGTGGAAGATAGCAACTGATGAATGAACTGGCGGGGGGGGGGCCACCAGACCGTACCACGGGTACTTCACATTGTAACTGTGGCTTGACTGCATTTTTAAAAAAGTGAAACCCTGGGCAGTACTAATTGTAAAGACAATCCCAGCAACTGAAACGATCAACTTCGTGCTGCAGCTGAATGTATTGCTGCACTGGAGCAGACGCATGAATTGGTTACCCACCTGACTCTTTTTTCTGTGGCCCTTACTGGCCCTTGGTTTAGGGCAGCAGGTAGAATTCAGGGCTGGGGGACAGGGCAGGGGAGTAGAGAGGATGGCATTTGCCTCTGATGGAATCACCATGGAGCTTTAGGAAGGTTTGGGGTGTTTGGGGTTTTCTTAGTGATTGGGAGAGTGCTGCTTTCCCTGTCCAGAGATGTTCCAAGTCCTGACATGCGTGGCTGGGGCGCATTCCCCACAGCATGGTGAAGGGTTAGCACAATACGCCAGGGAAACACCAAGATGAAGGTGATGGGGCCTCAGGGAGAAGAGGAAGCACTGGGAGCATTGGAAAGTGAGGATTTGTGTCAGATGGAGAGCAGTTCTTCTCAACTGTGTACGTCAGAATCATCTGGGGAGTTAAAAACAAAACAAAAACAACGTGAGGCGCCCACATCCCAGCTTCGTCTTGCACACTGACAAGGATGGATGACTATTTATGTGGAAAGCCATCCTGTTTTAAAAGCCCTGAGGAGTTATTAGCACACTGGATCTGCTCACGATGCTTCAGCATGCGAATAAGGGGACGTTCTGAGGTTCTACCCTCTCTGCTGCCCTGCTGGTCACCCCAGGCCTCCCTCCAGAATAGAGCTGCTCAGCCTTAGCCCTACATTACAGTCACCTGGAGAGTTAACTTTTGTTAAATTATTGCAGAAAAGTGCACACATATATATAACCATGGAATCAGCGTCCAGATCAAGAATCAGAATATTGGCAGCACTCCCGATGCCGCCCGTCCCCCGAGTCACTACTTCCCTAAAACTACTCTCCTGACTTCTAATAAATAGTAAAGATGAATTTTGCCTGTTTTTGGACTTTTTACAAATGTAATCAAATAGTAGGTTTTCGTTTGTGTCTGGCGTTTTTCACTCGAATGTTACTAAAAGTTCTTGATGACTCTGTCCCTTCACCTTTATTATTAGTTCATGTAAGTACCGTGCACAGATCTGATTTGCTAATTACTTCTGGGTGCATTTTACAGGTGTTTATCTCCTCACAGCTCTAAGCATACATACATTCACCCAGACCTGGGGTACTGCCAGTTCTCAGGGCAGTTACAGAAAGACATGCCCTTCTGATGTCAACTCTGCTATGGCACAGAGCGGAGGTGGGCAGAGGGGGAGGCACGGCCCTGTGGCGTTTCAGGGAGGTTCCCCCATTTACGCCAACTCAGTAAGGAAGGGTTCTGGGGCAGGGGGGACGCTTTGTGATCTTCCGGTCTGAACTGAATTTCCTACTCCACAAAGTTTGGCTTGTTTCTCTTTCAGACCACCCTTCCTTTAGAGCTTCCTCAGGTGAAACCAAAGAGAAATGAGGACGGCAAGGGACTGGGGATGCAGTTAAAAGGGCCCCTGGGCCCTGGAGGAAAGGGCTCCATCTCTGAGCTGAAATCGGCCGCTGCTGGCTGCCCCACGTACCTGGATAAAGATGGCCCAAGCCCCGCTCCCTCACAGGGTTCTCGGAAACCCAGCGCCCCACTGCAGTCAGCAGCGGACCACTTGGAGGAAGAATTAGACCTGCTGCTTAGTTTAGATGCACCTATGAGAGAGGGAGAGAACATCGCACCAGACCGGACCTCTCAGGACCAAAAATCTGAGAAAGATGGGAAGGTGGCCCAAGAAGAAAAAGGTATGGCTTCCATTTTATTCCCTATCCATCTTCTCGTTTGTGTGCCAACAGCCCCACCTGCGTCACGTCCCTACCCCTCTCCATCAGCGTCTGACATCGATCTGGCGCTGTCCGCTGACCTTTCTGACAACCTGCCTCTCAGTCGCTACGCCAGGCTTGCAGAGCTGCTCCCTGCCTGATTGCGATATTAAACCCGGGGCTGCCGATGGGCCTGGCACTAGAAAAAGGCATTTGGATCCTCGTCGCCCTCAGCTGTGCAGCAGCAGACCTTTTAATCGACTTCTCCAGACTTCTGGCTTGCTATTTCGATCTTACTTTTGTACAAAAGAGCACTTCGGCCTTTGTGCGTGCTCTGTGAGACCGCGGGCCCTCTGCTACAGAGAGGCCGAGGGTGTCTGCTCCATCCCCGCACTGCATGGACAACCTGTGAGGACTTCCCAGGACTGCTCCGACAGTGCAAGAAAACGGAGCTGCTGGTCTTTTTAGAAAACTAGCGAACTGTGACATTCAACTTCAGAATAAATAGAAGAGCAAATCTCTACCCCATTTACTAATTTGTTTAGCTATTACTGTGTCCTCTAACCATAATTAATAGGATGTTTCCTCTAGTTGTAAGCACAGTAATAATCAGGGCTGAATTCTATTCATGGAACAAACCCCAAGGAAACCTTCACCCTCAATTTTGGGACTAACGTGAAGTTGTTAACGCTGCTTTTATTTCCCCAGGTCCTGCAGAGCTCTCTGTGATGGAAGAAAAGAATGTGGAATCTGAGCAACCAAGGACATCAAAAACTATTACTGAGGAAGAGCTTGAAGACTGGTTGGACAGCATGATTTCCTAACATGAAAGAAAAAGGGAAAGGAAAAAAAAAGTGCCTGAAGCAAATTTTGATTGCCTTGTCAGTAAGGGCGGGCCCAAGGCTGTCCTTCCAGAACAGAACAGCTGGTTTCCGAGCATGCCCCGAGCCAATGTGTTCTACCATGCTTGCCGCAGTAAACGCCTACCTCTCTGGCCCACGACATCCGAAACTATACATCTAAGAGGCTCATTGCATTTGTTCTCTGGCTTAGCAATCTAATAGATTCCTCGAGGGCAGGGGATGTTATGGCTCTTGTTTCCTCCTTCCTTTCCATGTTTACAGCAGAGCAGGTGCTGCTGATAGAATAGCAACAAGGCATGCATTTGTGGCCAAAATAAACGAACGCTGGTCTATGGAATTCCTTTCTTTCTTGGGTGGGGTGTTTGTTTGTTAGGCCCTTTGTCTCGTGTCCCTTCTTCCAGTAATCACAGGACGGCTGTAGAATCATCCAGAAGAGGTACATCACAAGAGGCCGACACCCCGGATTGGTGTGTATTACTTTATTGCAGTGGGCACTTCCTTTGATGTAAGGAGATTCACCTAAACACAGCAGCTCCAGTACTTACAAGGGAACCATAAAGCAGTACTCAATTTGGTATAAGATTGAAATTTTTCTGGATTTTCAGTACAGTACTTCTAATAACAGCAGTTGACAAGCTGTTACTGAAAAAAATGATAGGAGTAACCAAGTGCAGTTTCATAAAGACGGAAGATCAACACAACTCATTAATGGAACTGTCCGTCTGGAACAGAAACATAAAAAATTTGCATAGCTATATCTAAAGAGATTTTAAGGCACTTAATCGATATTTCAGTGTCGACAAAGTGTTGGGTTTAACTGCTTAAAGCTTTTCAAGCTGATTCTGAATACATTCACTAGCAAGTACCATGGGAGGAATTTGACTGCAGTTAAAATGATTTTTTAGTAGTTCAGACCATGAGTCACTAGTGGCTACTGTCATGTGACATTCAAGTGTTTAAAACTTCAGTATTGTGCGTTGAAGACTTCATACTTCTAGTCCTTTCCTCAATGACATCATTGCAACAACTTAGTTCCATTAGAACTGAAAACCTTGAAGGTATTCTCAACTATAGTTTCCTTGATTTTTTGCCATCTTTTAACATTTTGATAGGTTGTCTCCCTCAGGGATATGTCCATTAGGCACAATAAGCCAAATCAACTCCAAAATATCACATATTTGTAACAAACACATCCTCTTGTAAGGGAGGCATTTAGAATAGGTCACGTTTCAAATATTTTGCAGAACTGTAAAAAGGATTTAGTTCACTGGAAGTTGACCGTCCAGAATTGGGCAGTTTCTTTCATTCTGATTTATCCAAGCTGATCTTCATATTGTTTCCGAAAGCAGTCACCAGCTGGGAAGAAATCCCAACACCTTTCTTGGTACATCTTCCAGACGTAAGATTCCTGAAATAATGGGAACAAAGGGTACTTCTTTTTAAACCACAGTAAGCTCAAACCCAGGTGGTTTTTACTCTGTAGGTCTCCCTTGGGGAAGGGTGATGGGTCCCAACTAGTACCTTCTTCCTTGCTCTGTTCCCAGCCCAGGCTAGTTTAGGAGCAAAAAGTCATTCTCCAACCCCCAAAACACTGAACACAATGCAATGATTCCAAGTAAAAATGCTTAAAGATCTAGCAACAGGCTGATTCTATGCCGTTTGTAATTGGTAGAAGGCAGAAGAACACACAATGAAGGGATAGTGAGTGCTGGCTCGGGCAGATGCCTGGAGCACTTGAAGGGAGATCTAGAACCAGTTGCCTCTCAAGTGTCTGAGCTGCGAAGTTTTCCCACAAATCTGATGCTGTTTGAGTATTAGATAACCTATCTATCTTTTCTTCCCTTTGTTCTCTTATCTCTGCATTTGTTTCTCATACTTAGTCACAGAATCCCTTTTGACACATACTTTCACTCATACTACCCACACCTCCACCTTCCCTGTGTCACCCACACATGAGGTGGTTGTCTTTCTCAGGCTGTCTCTCACACCATTTTACTCTCTTTGTTAGAGCCACCCACTCAGCTCCTCCTTGTCTTTTTCTCTGTAACGTTCTCCCCACCTCCAGCTATTCTACTCTGAGGCAGTAACCATAAGGGTTTAGAAAATGTCAGTGTTAGTTGGGAAGGATAACCAGAAAGTCTTTAGGAAGAGATTGGAGTTGCCTGAGGATTTTGGCTTCTTAGGTCACAAAGAGATGGCGGAATGATGCAGAGGAAAAATGTACGTTGGAGACTAATGAAGTCATCTGTCTACTTCAGACAGCCTGTGCTCTGTTGAGTCTCAAGACTTCAGAAAAGGAAACTCTTAATGCAGGGGTACGATTCTTAAGACATTTTATTTCTCACCTGACCCGTGTGTTCTGTTTCATCTTTATTAATCAGATACATCAGGAAGAACCTGGAACAAGGAGAAAAAAGGTATAATAAGTGAGAAAAAGACAATATTACTTTGGTTAGTCTTTTTGTGAGGAGAAATTCTCTTTACCATTCCTAAACCTTGGGCTAAGGGTACTTGTGAGGAAGCATTTTGGCTACCTTCTTCCTAACTGCCTCTACTTTTTCAGAGAAATAGGCAGAAAGGGCACACGCACAGGGGAACCGTATGACATAACTGTTTGTTTTACTCTCCTGTTCCTACCCCAGCCACTGTCCCCTCTGTTGACCACGGATACTCACAAATAGTTGGCTAAGTTGTGCTCTTGTAAGGTGTGTGTTTCAAAGCCATGAGGAATCGTGTCAAAATAGTCATTGCCAATCCCACAGATGAAACATTTGGTCTAAGACGAATAAGAGAAGTAGTAAAGGCATTAGTACACGCGACATTGCAGGCAGGTGGGAAAGAGGTGATGATCTCATCGGACGGAGAGACCGTGAAAAAATATTTCTCTCTCTAATGCTTCTGGCCATTAGTCCTCCCCTCCACAGTGTCAGATCCTTAGCTCCTAGCTAGTGGGGGAGGGTGAAGCAGAAGCCAGGCACAGAGGACAGGCACAGCAAACAAACTTTGTCCGTCATTTGCCTAAGACTGGCCCTGTGTAATTGCAGACCCGAGTATTTAAAAAACTCATTTGCTGTAAGATACCAAAATAGAGTTGGAGCTAGTCGAACTTTACCTCCATATCTTCTCGCACTTGCTCCTGCTGGTCTCTTAGCTCTCCAAAAGCATCAATAATAAGACCTGGTATTTTAAATACAAAGACAGATAAAGTGTTTACAGTAATCTGTTTCGGGGCTCAGGGCAGAGGTTCAATGGTAGAGGCCACATTGTGTAAAAAAAAAAAAAAAATGATCAGGCCAACCTAGTAAAGCAAAACTCAGAAAAAAATTGTTGTGTTTTCAAATGCTGCATCCTGGCTGACCATTTCTCACCCTCTGTCTTGCTCCACCTTTCTGCAGCGCACGGTGCTAGCAGCTTACTCCCTGACCCACTTGGCTCCCCCCCGGCCATCCCTGTTCTATTACGGTGCTTGGCCACTCTCTCTTCAGTCTTCCTTGTGGGCTCTTCCTCTTCTCCAGCTCCTTAAGCATTGATATAGATCAGGATTCCTCCTCAGTTTCTTTGTTTCTCCTTCCGGAGAGTCTCCTCTACACTCAGATTTTTTAGTACCACCCCCAGCGCTGATGGATCCCATTTGTATTGTTTAATTTTTGTATCGTATTTATATTTATGTGTACTTATTACATTTCTTATTTCCCTCCTGTTCCATTCCTGACTTGTCTCTTGAAAGACCTATTACAGTTAACGGCTTCTTAGCCCTCAACACCTGCATGTTTATAGGTACCTCAACTTGGCATGACTCAAATTCATCACGGTCTTTCTCTAGTTCCTGACAAGCTATTGACTAGAATATCAGTACCCCTCCCCACAAAAGAAAAATCCTGTCACTCTTTCATGGCTCCTCTCTTTGCTCTTTCACCCCCATATTGCCTGGGAGGACAGGCTGTGGGACAAGACCAGCCTCAGGAGATCTCTAGGAAGCAGAGTGAGAAGGCGATAACCAGTTCAGAGTGGGGGATGAAAAGAGGTGTGTGTGTGGGGGGGTCCTCCATTCAGATTCTGCGGTTTCTTGTGTCAGTGTCTGGGTGTACCTCTGGCTTTATGTCTAGCCACGTGCATGCATAGTATATGCTCAATAAATTTTTGTTGAATTAACTAGTAAATGAATGTACAAACCTTTCTAGATAATGTCATAGATACCGAAAGATAAAGCACTAGGTATAAGCCCTGCTCATACTTAACGTAACTGGCAACATACCCTGAATGATGGCCAGCAAGATGACAATGACGAAGAAGAAGAAGGTAATGTCAAAGACAATGCGGTACATCTCATAAGGGTCACCAGCAGGGTCTTCAATTTCGTCTCCAATGCCTCCTCCGGCTCTCACTCCCACGTACATGTGGAACAGGTAACACTGGAGAAGAAAAATAATGGCAGTTCAGGTCAAAGCCACAGGGTTTTTTTTTTTTTAGCAAGATGGATATTAGCTCTTTTGCAAGGCAGGGGTAGGGCGCTCCTCAGTGATGTCAGTCCTCGCATGGCTAGCAGCTGTCCTCTATGCCCGCTGGTCAGGGTGGGGTCTCGGGAGGAGGCAAGACTTGCTGCACTTAGCCTTTAAAATATATTCTTTGCTCATTAAAAAAAAAAAAAAGATTTGAACTATTTGACACCTATGAGAGAGTTCATGTAGGGCATGTGTAAGTTAAAACAACTCTGGGCCCTGATGAACATGCATTCGCCAGGTGGGAGTTTGCCTTCATTTAAAGTGCCACCTCCGGAAAAGGCCTCCTCTCCTCCTGCATCCTCTGTGCACCCGGGAGGGCAGGGATTCCTGCAGTGTCTGCGGGAAGACTCTTCCTCCTCTGGGCTGCATGTGTGAGCCAGTGTAGGCATCTGGGCTCTGGCTCCCAGAGCAGGGCGCCGCCCTCTGTCCTGCCTGGAGGGGTGAGGTGCAAAGGGAAAG